CGCCTCCGCCGCCGGGCACCTGGGGGTGGTTCGCAGCCTCCTGGATCACGGAGCCTCCGTCAACCAGACCACGCTGACCAACTCGACGCCGCTGCGGGCCGCTTGTTTCGACGGGCACCTGGAGATCGTGCGCTACTTGGTGGGGGAGCGCGGGGCTGACCTGGAGGTAGCGAACCGGCACGGACACACTTGTTTAATGATCTCTTGCTACAAAGGGCACCGGGAAATCGCGCGTTACTTGCTGGAGAAAGGGGCTGATGTGAACCGCCGGAGCGTGAAGGGGAACACAGCCCTGCATGACTGCGCCGAGTCTGGCAGCTTGGAGATCCTGCAGCTCCTGCTCCGCTCCAAAGCCCGCATGGAGAAGGATGGCTATGGCATGACTCCTCTGCTGGCTGCCAGTGTCACCGGCCACACCAACATTGTGGAGTACCTCATCCAAGGAGGGCTGCAGCAGGAGGATGAGGAGGTTGCGGGAAGCCAAAGTGGGACCTGTGCCTCAGGTGGGAGCCATCAGAGGTGCTGCAGCACCAGCAAGGAAACTCCTCAGGGCTGCAGTGAAGAGGTGTGTGAGCAATGTTGTGCCTCAGCTTCCAGTCAGGATGAGCAGCAGGTCCCTAATGTGTTCTGCACTCGAGAGGCTGCTGTGGAAGCACTGGAGTTGCTGGGTGCTACGTTTGTGGATAAGAAACGTGACCTGCTGGGAGCCCACAAGTACTGGCGAAGGGCTATGGAGCTTCGGTGTGAGGGTGGGCAATACCTGCCCAAGCCTGAGCCCCGGCAGCTGGTGTTGGCCTACGACTATTCCCGGGAAGTGAGTTCACTGGAGGAACTGGAAGCTTTGATCACTGATCCCGATGAGATGCGGATGCAGGCGCTGCTGATCCGGGAGCGCATCCTGGGCCCTTCCCACCCCGACACTTCCTACTACATCCGGTACCGAGGGGCCGTCTACGCCGACTCCGGCAACTTCGAACGCTGCATCAACCTCTGGAAATACGCCCTGGACATGCAGCAAGGCAACCTGGAGCCTCTCAGCCCCATGACTGCCAGCAGTTTCCTTTCCTTTGCTGAGCTTTTCTCTTACGTGCTTCAGGACCGCTCCAAAGGCACTTTAGCCACTCACTTGGGCTTCTCGGACCTCATGGGAGTGCTGAGCAAAGGGGTCCGGGAGGTGGAGAGGGCACTGGTGCATGGTAAGGACCCTGTGGTTGACTCAGCTCAGTTCACCAAGACACTGGCTATTATCCTCCACTTGGTTTTCTTGCTGGAGAAGGTGGAGTGCACCCCGGAGCAGGAGCACCAGAAACGCCAGACCATCTACCGCCTGCTCAAGTGCAGCCCCCGGGCCAAGAATGGCTTCACTCCTTTGCATATGGCTGTGGACAAAGATACCACCACGGTTGGACGTTATCCCGTGGGCAAGTTCCCATCCCTCCACGTTGTGAATTTGCTTCTGGAGTGTGGGGCTGACCCGGACAGCCGTGACTATGACAACAACACCCCCCTGCACGTTGCTGCCCGTAACAACTGCCCCCTGATCATGAGTGCTCTGATGGAGGCTGGAGCCCACATGGATGCCACCAACGCCTTCAAGCAGACTGCTTATGAGTTGCTGGATGAGAAGCTGCTCACCAAGAGCATGATGCAGCCCTTCAATTACATCACCCTCCAGTGCCTTGCTGCTCGCGCCCTGGACAAGCACAAGATTCCCTACAAGGGTTTCATCCCCGAGGAGCTGGAAGCCTTCATTGAACTGCACTAGGGTGGGAGAGCTGAAGGTCCCCAGCCTTTCCTGTCACCCATTTCACCCCACAGAGGTAGTGCAGCCTGAGATCTCAGGCCATCCTTGCCCAGGTGCTGAAGGCCATCGCTGCGAGCTTTGTCCTCATCTGTCATCACAGCTGGCGTGTGCAAGGGTAGGGGAGGAGGCTGCTCCAGAGCTCATGGCTGTCCCTCCTTGTTGTCATCTTCAGGTACCAGCTATCTCCAGGGCACTGTATCCAGAGAGGGCCACAGCCCCTGCTGTGTCCCATGCCAACTGTCTGGTCCTGAGAAGGAAGGAAAATGGAGATCCTTGGCACCTGCAGCCTCTCCTGTTAGTGCAGGATTAACTCAACATAAAGCTTTGGAGCATCTACACATCACATTTGTGCTCTGGCCCTTCCCATCACAAGTACTGAACAGCTAGGAATGCAAGTGAGGAATAAAAAAATACCTTCCAACTAATTCTTTCCCACCCCCTTCTCAGATGTGCTACATTATGAATCTAACAACCTGAGGTAGTTGCCTTGTGTGGCAGTAGGGCTGGGTATGCTGAGGACAGTTTTTTTTTCCCCTCTGCCTTGGTTGGCCAAGTAGCAAGTGGTGTTAAAGGCCTGAGATTGCAATGATTGTGCATAAAGCTGGGTTATTTTTTCTCTTATAGAGCCAGGCCCTATCTATGCTGCAAGACTTCTTCAATCCTGTAGGATGTAGTAAGGTCAGTTCTGGTTATTTAGTTTCATCACTAGTTGTTGGGGGTTTATGGATGGGGAGGAAAAACTGCTACCTTAAGAACAAAATAATGTGAACTTCAGGCCCTTGGCTTGCATACATTCTGCTGATGTTCACTTCCTTCCTCACGTGGAGGTCCTTTAGCTCCAGAGGTCCACAGGGATGGAGCTGTACAGGGTGGATTTGACCAAGTTTCAGAGCCAAACCAGTGCCCATGGAACCATCTCTGAGGATGTTCTCTTGGAAGCCCTCTAGGATGGGAGGTACTCACAATGTGGGTGGTGCTCAGAGGGTTATTAAAGCAAGTGAGTGTTTGTGGCATGTTTGCATGAGGGTGGTCTGAAGGAAGAGAGAAATGAAAGTTAAAGGTGCCTTCTTGTTCTTCTGAGGTTAATTAGTATCAACCCACTGGGCTCTGTTAATTACCCCATTCTGAAAACCTACAGGGAGTGGGTTGTTAGCATCTGGGTTTTGGCTTTTAATTCTTTTTGCAACTTCACTGAGGATGGTGCTACTTCAAAGGTGGAATTTGAAATCTCCTTTGGCTACTGTTTGGGCAAGCTCCTTCCTTTCCTTTAGGAGCTGCACACAACTTGGTTTTCTCTTGAAATCTGTAGTCTCAGGATAGGTATTTGCCTGCATTAGCAGAACCCTCCTTGGTGGACAGCAGTGTTGGTAAACATGATGCTGTTCCAGCAGTTTATCTTCTTGCAGGGGGAGTGACTGGGCTTTGGCAGCCAGGGGCTCATTTCTTGGCCCAGGGCAGAGTGGAAAGCACAGTTGGGGGTGAAGCAGCTGCCTCTGAGCTTTGGGAAAGGTCAAGACTGGGAGAGCAGAACCCTGATAAACAACCATGCACTAAATGCTCCTGAAGCTTCTCTACTTGTATTTATAAGCCAGCACATCCATATGCTTCAATAATCCAATGCTCTCTGCCCCTTAAAGGTGTTGTAGATCTGCCATGATGTTTTTGCAGTGTTAACTATAACATTTATTTATAAAGCAAAGAGGTTTAACTTCTCTTGAGATGTAAAGTGCAGAGTTAGTTTAGCTACATTCTATATATATTTTTTTTCCCTCCCTTTTGGCTGAGACCTGAACTAAATTGCAGGAATGGAACTTGTTTAACTTGTGAGCTGTTGAGCGCTCTTAACTTTAAATAATAAAACAAAAAATGGCTGCTAGAATGCAAGTGCCTTGGACTTCTTGCTGGTAAGCCTCTGTTTTCAGCTTCTTTCTCAGGGATGGGCCACTTGTGGGTATGGAACTACTGGGAGTTTGCAATCAACAGGTGTGATTGTTTCATTTCATCTGAATTTACTCCTGGGAAAACGAATCGGTGCTGAAATTGGAAACATTTCCCCTGGAAGAGGGTAACACTGAATTGACACCTCGTTTTAGGTTCTTTGCTTTATCTTTTGGTGTAAATGGAGCAGTGGGAAAGGAGGCAACTGTGTTGGCTCAGATGTTAACTGCTTAATCTACAGTTGGGATGCTGGGCACAGCAAGGAGAAAGAGGGACACATTGTGGCTGTCACAATTTCTTTTTCAAGCCCAGAGCTGTCAGTGGGAGGTCAAAAGCAGCCAGTGGAATGTACAGGAGTTAGTTCCACACAAGAATTTGGATTTCCAAAAAGTTTTGGCCTTCTTTAATGATCCCTTCTAACTCAAAACATTTTGTGATTCTGTTGGGAGGGTGGTGAGAGCCTGGCCCAGGTTGCCCAGGGAAGCTGTGGCTGCCCCATCCCTGGGGATGTTGAAGGGCAGGTTGGATGGGGCTTGGAGCAACCTGGGCTGGTGGGAGGTGTCCTTGCCCATGCAGGGGGTGGGACTGGATGATCTCTAAGGTCCTTCCCAACTCAAACCATTCTCTGATTCCCCAGAGAGGATGGGAGGAGATGGATAAGATACTTGGATGTTTGTCCCTCCATCCTCAAAAATAAGTCATGATGGTTTGATGGGTGTTGCTGCTTTTATGCTAGACGTGACATACAAGCAGTGTCTGCAGTTCTGTGGGGCATGTTTGTCCCACTGAAATTCTGCTGCTGTGTGATAGAAAAGGGCTTTAATTTATATTTTTCAACACATAAATGATCTATAATTACATAGTAAGGACCCAGCAATGAAATGTTGATAGTAATTACTGTGTGGGAGAAATCACTGTGTGAATGTAGGGGTAATTACAATGAACAGTCCTTATTTATTGTAGGTGTGGTCTGGATCTGCTCCAGTACGTGGGGCTAGACAAGGAGTTGTGGGGAGCAGTGGAATGTTTCAGTGATGTTGTTCTCTGAGTAATTATCTTGGACAGAGAGTGAAGGTGGTGTTTGGTTGTTTTTTTCACTGGGGTGGGTACTGACCCTCCCAAAGCCCTTCTGTGCACTGTCACTGGCAAGATAGGAAAATTGAGAAGAAATTCTGGAGTGTGAGGGTGGTGAGAGCCTGGCCCAGGTTGCCCAGGGAAGCTGTGGCTGCCCCATCCCTGGCAGTGTTGAAGGGCAGGTTGGATGGGGCTTGGAGCAACCTGGGCTGGTGGGAGGTGTCCCTGCCCATGCAGGGGGTTGGGACTGGATGATGTTTGAGGTCCCTTCCAACCCAGACCAGTCTGGGATTCTCTGATTTCCAGGTAAGCAACACCAAAGAGGGCCCTAAAAATGTGGGATGAGTGAAGCTGCTGCTGCAGTTCAAGCAGGGCTGTGGCTCTTCCATGGAAGTTGCTCCCAGTAACCTTTGAGCCTCTGGGCCCTCCACACATTAAGCTTCAAAAACAAAATCCCCAGCCCTGTCATGTGTCTTTTCCTTTTTCCAGTCCAAGCAAACCTGTTGTGACTGTGTTAAGGTTGTTGACAAGCTAGAGCAGCTTTAGTTGCCCAGCTTTGTATGAGGTTTATTTATGGAAAGCAGAGGAGCTGGGGAAGGAGTGAGGTGTAGTGTTCTCCCAAGGGGAGGAGCTGTCCTGGTGGCTGGGCAGTGTGATAAGAACTGCAGTAACACAACAGCTGTTGGAACAAAGGTGACATGGAGGAGAGAAAACAGGGAAATAGAAGGAATCTGAGCACTTGGAGGATTCCAGCAGACTATAGGGTGAATGAATTAATCCATTGTCATTGGGTCCTTCAAAGGTAAAAGCTGAACTGTTCCAAAGCTGGAAGCTAACACCTGATGGCAGCTTTGAAACAGCAATGTTTTGATGTGGTTCTTGTTCTGCTCAGGGCAGAGAATGCTTTTATTTGTCCAGGCTTGGTATCTTATGCCTCAGCCAAGGAGATCCAGGAGGAGCTCAACCTCCTTGAGGTGGTGATGGGGGAGGCAGAAACACCTTATAGTGACAGGTTCATGAGAAAGGACCCATGGCCTCTTAAGAGGAAATTCTATGGGATTGAAATCCAAAGCCCTTGACAGCCACCAAGCTGTTGCACTTTGTAGGGACATACCAGCTCTCAGCTCCTACATCTGGTGGTGCCCATAAGCTCCAGAGCTTGCACTGAAGGTCAGCCAATGCTCAAGGTTCCCCAGCATCATCCCACAGACAACCTCAGCCCCTCCTGAGGGGCAGAAGCTGCAGCTGTGTCAGCACAGGCAGGTGTAGGGGACTGTCCTTTATGCTGTTACCTGCTGTTGTCTGAGGAGCCAGGGCTGAGCAGAGGCTCCCAGCCCATTCTCTCCTCCTTGTTGGGGTGGTTCATGTCTCATCAGTGAGCTTTGCTATGTGGGCTAGTACTGGTGTCTGAGGGTGTGCTGGGTAGGTTGAGCCAGAGAGGAAGAGTGAGAACTGGCCAGTCTTTAGCCCAGTGCCTGGAGTGCTCCTAAGAGGGAATTCATGTCTGCTGAACAGTCTTTTATCCAAGGATTTATTAATGCCCTTCTTATGCAGTTGTTGGTTGGAAGGTTTGGATGGACAAAGGCTGTAATCCAGAACTAGAATTGGTGGGTGCCCAGTTTGGGTAGTCCCAGGATGGCTAGTGGTGTCCTGCACTTTGCCTGCCAGACTGTGCTGGCTCCTCTCCTTTGGAAACCTACTGGGATAGTTACCCAGAGTGACACAAACTTACACACACCTGCAGGAATACCTGAAATGGGGCCACCCCCCTGGATCAACCACTCTGGCACTCAAGGACCCCCTCAGCAAAGACTCAGCAGGTTCCTTCCTGGGGTGCAGGGAGGAGCAGGCACTGCCCTGAGAGGCCCTTGAGTGGGGTGAAGGTCAGAGCTCAGGGGGTTGGTTGGAGCTGGATGGAGCTCAGGGGGTTGGCTGGCCTTGCTTGGCCGAGGAGCAGTCCCACTTCTCACCGTCTGGTGGCTTCGGGCTGACCTCTGCTGACAGCCGGGGAGAAGCCGGCTGAGGGAGAGCCTGGTGTCTGGGGCTGCTCCAGGTGCCCTCCTTGGGCTGAAAGCCCAGTAGGTACCTGCCTGGTAAAGCCCTCACCCAGGCCCTGCAGACACACATCCGACCTTCCACCACTGCTCTTCATTCTCTGCTCAGTGCTTTTGGTTTTCTGTCCAACCTTTTTCTCAAAGGCAGTAACATAATCATTTGGACTAAGCAAGTACCATTTCTCCATTCAACAGCCAGACTAATGACCCTTGTCCCAACT